TGATACCAATAACTCTACATGCCCAAAAATTGACGAGAGCCTGATTCCACCAAGCTGCCTCACAAATGTCTTCCTCATTACATGTCTCATTTAAAATTTGTGGGCTGTAATTTAAACCTATCTCCGTACACCTGGGGTTGTATTCTTCACATTTTAGAATACTTCTAGTGCGAAGGTCTCTTTGAAACTTTTAGTATTTCTCAAAAAATCAATTTGACAGACTGCTTTGCAAAGCGTACGGATCGGATTAACCAGTAAGTTTCCTCTTTGGAAAGTGGTGGCACAGAGTTCCCCATGTCGTATGGATACGATAGTAAAACACAACGTACGGATAGGGTTAGATGTGACGAATACTCTGTTGTATGGAAAAGAAGCTTAGAAAATGTGTGCAGTTGCAGGGAAAAACTCGAAATTGCACTGAAAACTCAAAAAGCTGCTCAGGTTTCACACTGATTGTAGACTGGAAAAGAAAGGCACATAAATCACACACACACACACACTACCTGTTAGAAAAACTGGAGTAGACCACTCTAGGAAAAGTAACATATAAAGCACTTTATCAAGTGATCAGTGATGGAAAAGTCTGTAAATTACTATCAGGAGCTTAAGTCTAGTTCCAACGTAAGTGCCCATTTCCCGCCTAAATGCTCGCTTTTGTACTTTCTTTCACTGTCTATACGATTTTCAGGCTCTTGTCTGAATAATGAAATGGAAGAAACCACCTTTTTCTTACTTATTGGCAATTTTTATCAATTTAAAAAAATATATTTTGGCTTATACTTTTTTGTGATAATTTTACTTTAAAATGTTCAACGGCACAAAAAATGTTAATTTGTAGTTTCCAAGGAGGTTCAAACTTTGGCGGCCATTTTCTCATTTATTTTACCTTCAACACCATGCGACCTTCACCTCGTTCTATCACATATATATATCTCTACTTCCTGTAGCGGGCTGAAAAAAATTGTACTGACAGCTGCTGTCCCGAATACTGAGGGTTAATTTTAAAATCCTGTCAAGTAGGTAAATTGAATTGTGTCAAAAGAGCTGTATAACTTTAAAGAATGCTCTCTGTTCCCCAGGTAAAGGCTGTGATGTCCAGTCTATCGGAGGAGGTTCTCCGTAGAGGAGCACAGGTGACCAGAGACACCCTGGACCAAATGGCTTTTAACAGAGACCCCTTGGAGAAATGATACACCAACTCTTATTTCCTCCCATTAACAGGTCCCCTTCAGGTGAAATTAGGCAGTTTTACTACCTTCAATTAGCTCATTGACCTGTGAAATGATTTCCATGGTTTGATGGAATTGATTTCTTTTATTTTCTCAAGAGCATGTCATGTTTGAAATGAGTGCCGATGGCTTATTTGTGATACAAACATTCAATTGTAATGTCAAAATAGCCATTTAGTTTCTTGAGATTTGCCATGATGCATGCCCTGAAATCTTAGAAAAGGGAGAAAATCCTCTGAATATATCAAACATACATTTTTTTAAAATTCATCAGAAAAAAAGGGGTTTTTTTAAAATACGACATGCAAAAAATACTGCTTCCAGTGAGCCAGTTTTCGTTGCAGTGTAATTTGGGCAAGTTATTTTTTTCTCCTATTATGTTGTGACTATCAAATTTTTGTTTGCTTCCCATCTGTTTTGTCAAATTAAAAAATAACCGAATCATCTTGTGACTTAAAAATGCAATATTACAGTAGACGGAGAAATGAATTGTCAACATGTTTTTGTTTGGTCAAGATCGCTTCAGGTGCTCGATTTTTATGAATTTTCAAAGTGTCCTTGGATTTGCCTTGCCCTAATTTCAACTCCATCCACTCCCCAGTTCGTCAAAGAGAGAAGAAAAACTCTGCTTTCACTTTATAGCATCATTTTCAGTTCTTTCTAATCTGACTTCAGTTCTCTGGCCTGACCAGTGTCTGTGGTGTAGCTTTTTTTAGGTGTTCCACAATGGCACACAGAATATGAGTTCGATTACCAAGTCGGGAGATTTTTTATGGTGTTTCTCAGTCTTTCCACCGGATGTTGTATCATCCCTGTCAGCCCAGGTTGGACTTGTAAGGCATGGCCTAAACACTCCACCTCCTATATATTCTGAATTGTGCAGGGTATAACATTTGTGAGGCAGCGTGGTGAAATCAGGCGCTCGTCAAAAGAATGAAAGTGAAGAAACTGCCATTTTTCTTCAGGTTTCTGACTTTTTATTGAATCTTTGTTTTTCAGTTCAGTACCTTTTTATACCCTTTAAAAACACATTTCAGTGTGGATTTTACTGAGAAACGTTGATAAGATGCATAAAAGATGTAAATTTTCAGTTTCCACGAGCTTTCAAGCTAAGGAAGTAACTAAACTTTGGCAGCCATTTTTTCACTAATTTTACCTCTGAAACCAGGCGACCCCACCTCCTTTAAATCACAAATATCTCGACTTGTATCCAAGATAAATGGATATATTGTTTTCATCGAAAGCAAGGCAATTGGACAGGCTTTAAGATGATACCAATAACTCTTATATGCCAAAAAATTAACGAGCGTCTGATTCCACCTCGTCGTGACACATTTACACATTCACTTCTGTGGCCTGCTCCTAGTTTTTCTTCACTAGATATTTGTATCATTATAATCATATTCTCACATTTTATTGCACCCTTTTACATACAGTGTTTACGAGCCTTGTTTTCTATTGGCAGGAATTCCAGTGTTTTTCATTGCTTATACATGTATGAGGTCTGAGATTTGTTATGATCATGAGAATTAGCCTTTTCAAACTGTTTTGAAATGTTTTTTTTTTCCTTTGCATTGTAGCAATCAGATTGTTTTTCTACTATTTCTCACTTTTTTCCTAATTGACTGTTACGGTGTGCTTGTCTGTTCTCATACTTCATGGTTTTGAAGGAGAGCAAAGCTGCTGGATGTATTAGTGCTTTAGAGTTAAAGGTCCTTCCACCTTTTGCGGCTGTGGAGGTTGTGCTGATTTTTTGTTGTTTCAGTATGTTAAAATCGGTGACTGGCTGCTTATTCCATCCAAACCTTAAAAAAAGAAGATAGTTAGTGTTCTAGTATGGTCCTGCTTCTTTACAGTGGTACTAGTGTCCTATTTTAGCCATAATCGTACCTACTCATCCTGACGTTACAAAATACACTCGCCTGTTGTGTATTGCTTTGGTACTTCGCTGTCAAATGCAAAACACATGAGTTTGCATTGGTTGCTTTTAAGCACAAGGGGACTATCCCGGAAAAATGCTGTTTTGAGAAAATCGAAGGTAAAGGTTTTGCCCTTGTTCAGTTTCATTAAAAGACAAGGAGAGTTTTCTCTATAACCAAACAAATATACTCACCAATGGAACCAAACTTCTACTATTGGTAGGGCAGTGTCCACTTTTGGTGTAGCTTAAGATTTCTGGAAACCCCCGAAATCTGGGTTAGCCCGCTTGTCCTTAAAAGCGACCAATTTGATTCCTGTGTGGAGAGGCTCTTTGATTTTTTTAAAAATAAATGAAGTACATGTATCTCTATCTGTCTGCTGGGACATTGTATCCCTCACAGCCCGGGCAGGCCCTGATAAACGAGGTCGAGCAGCCTGTCTCCTATATCATAATACTATATTATGATATGACCTCAACATTGTGACGAACAACTACAAATTACATTACAATTACATACATCACCTGAACAACCAATAAACCAATAATAACTTTTATTCAAAGAAAAAAACAAACGTAAAGAGCCTCCAGTTTCAGTTAAAGAAATGTTGGACTTATAATGCAAAGACACTCAAGAACTCTCTCTCTCTCTCTCTCTCTCTCTCTCTCTGTCTGTCTCTCTCTCTCTCTCTCTCTCTACCTGTCTATCTCTCTACCTGTCTATCTCTCTACTTGTCTATCTATCTATGTCTGTGTCACTCTCCACCATCCGCCCCCCTCCCCC